TCGTTTTTCCAAAACTTAGTCAAAGAAGTGTTGGCATGCTTTTTGAGAGTGGCCACTTCTCTTTCATACTTGATCACATTTTGGAAAGCAACCAGGCATTAAATGAAAGAAGAAATTATCAACTGTTATACTCTTATTATAGCAACTATACCTGGTTTTCAAGATATTTGGGCTTGAATGCGGGGTTGTTTTTTATTGACTCACATTGTAAATTACGCTGTCGCCTCTGACGTTAGTTAAGGGCAAGTGTGGATGTAGGTAAAATGGATTCTTTGTCCAAATAGCGAACAGGTTGATTGATAGACGAACTGATGTGTGGACGGCTGAAGGTGTCCCGACATCGAGTTACGTCACTGTTATCATCTCTCTTCTGTGGACCCATTGGTTGAATTAGAGGGGAGAGAGATGTATTTAACCCCTGCTATGAGCATGTTTGTCAGTGTAAGCCTTTTAAAAAGGGGGAATGCACTAAACTTGACCCTATAAAATTGAACCTAAAATGAGGGATTTATCACTTTTGGAGCCTCTCTTGTTCCGTCGTAAAATGCACCGGACGTGGTACGAATGGGTCGGTGATAGCAAACGTCAAGAGAATTAAAGAAACAGTCACTTTTTCTTGAAACGGTGAAGCAGGTATACAAATAATTTATGTTTAGCATCTCTTGAGGTGGGAAGCAGGCAATGAAAAAAAAAAAGGTCTTCGACGTATCGTCGAGAAAGATAGAAAGGGGGCGGTTGGAAGATTAAGGAGTAAAGGAATCACTCTCTAATTTATTGTCGCCTTTTAAAACATCTACGTTCATGTTGTCGGTAAGTGTGCCCATTTTCTAAGTCAAATTTAACTTGTATGGGAGGAAACCTTGTACAAGAATGGCATTTCGATTTTCCTCCATTGGATTTTTTTTTTAAAGAGAAGGTTCATTGATCTTAAAAACTAACTTTGTTGTCATTATTGCAAAGGTAAAACTTTGATTGGACAAGGTTATCAAAATGCAATGTTTGGAAACATTCGAAGTAATGATTATTAACAATTACAAAACGCTTAGATACAGCCCCGGCATAGCACCTGAAAAGCTCTCCGATCGCTGCTGAGATTATGTGACGTCACATGTTGAACATGATGTGCACACGCAGACGATGTCCCATGACATCTCACACAATTTCAGTGCCTGTTTTGTCATATTTTCTTCAGTTATTTCTCTTACTTCACTACCCTCAGGCGAAATGTTTAATCTATTGCCTCACTCTAAAACCCGTGCATGGTATTATTTTGATGAAAAATGCAAGGATTAAAAAAAAAGGGAATCCGTCACTTGTAAACAAAATAGACGCCATTGTATTTTCGGCTGCATACACCGCGGTATATTCGGCGTTTCAAGAGGGAACAAATGACGTCCATGCTATCATTCCGGAGGTTTTTTTAATTTGAAAGTGTGGTTTCTTTGATTGTTCATTAACCCCTATCCTGTGCATTTACCCCCCAAAAATAGTTATCAGAATGGGGGTCATATAACTTTTTGAATGGTGTAAAATTCCATCACATTTATATACACTTAGCTCATTATAATTTGAGAAATAATAGCACTGCAATTATGTTCATTCTTTATGTGATGTCGTCTGCTTGGTCAGGGTTGGTTCATATTGTGACGGCATTAAAACATCGTTATTTTTCCGGCGAATCTCTCGCATATCCCAGCTGCTATGGAGGTTGTTTTATTTTGTATTTTTATAAATCACCCGATATGTAGTTGACCTAAAACGTGTATGATGGCCATCTGTTAGCTTACCAGTTTTTAATGATACGTTAATTGCCATGTTTGTGATTTTCTTTGAACAGGCACTTTAAAGAACACTTGTGAATTCTTCTTCTGTGCTTGTAAGAAGTTTTGCTTCGCTGGCGGCAAGAACTTCGTCCGACACGCCCACGAGATCCCGAGGGGGGAAATGGGGATGGTAAGCACTGTCACTCGTTTATAAGGCAGAACAGGATATTTGACAGATATCATTTTTGAGCAATGTGACACCAGGGGGGAAGAAAACAGGACTCATGGCTGTTCAGCTTTGATACCTCCTTACAGCCATTGTCACAACTTCTTCGAGCGTGATCTGAATTAGTCCACCTACATTCTCAGACACCACCGAGTCGAAGTCGAAGTAGAAAGGGTTGAAACTGATACCTCTGACATGGAAGTCGTGGTTATCCATGAGAAGACACGGACGAAGAAACTTTAAGATTTCAAGATATTAACATTCATGACATTATGCATACACGGTTGTTCGATTCAAATAAAATAAGTCACGGAGCCGGTTCTCATTTGTTTACGCACCAGACTGCGGTTAATGGCACCCGAGATTACGTGGAGCAAATGTAGATTTACATTTGCTTCATTCAAAAAGCATATCGGATACGTCGGGGAAGTGGGTGTGATGGAAACGGGTTAAATAAAGTCGTAATAACATAGCGCGACAAAGGTGTCAGATACTGATTTATTTATTCTTGTTTTTCATGCCGGCGGTACAAACTAGGTAGGCTTTCTTGGTTTGCATACGTGACAAGATGCATGAGTTATAACGATTGACTAAAACATTCAGGTCGTTTGTCAGAAATACGATAATATTTTATGGCTTTAAGATACATTATCGGCACCAGTCCTGAGATTTTTGCAGGAGGACCTTTCAAACATCTCGGACACCGCCAGGCCAACTGTCCACACATGCTCTTAACCAGACACTTGACGATCGGATTTCGGTCTTGTTCATTAAGTATGTGTGTGCGTGTGTGATTGTGTGGGATGTATGTGTGTGTGTGTGGGTGTATACGGTGTTTGAGTGTGTATATTGGGCCTTCTTTTTTTTTACAGACGCGTACATGAATATTTACGTATGTGACCGAATTTCAACGTCACCAGCACCGGCGTCACCATCTGAAGACGTGACTCAGTATCAAACCTGGCTCCAATCAGAGTCAGTTTTTAGGCTAATTAAGGCAGAGAGTCGAACCGTACCTCGGACATTACCGCTATAAGCCAACTCACATCTCCCTTGGTGTGACTTGAGCGTTAGTCTAATATCATCGTTATATGAACGCCTTAAAGTATCCACCATACACCAGCCTTCGGTCATTACGAAGTGGACTCGATGAATACCGAACAGCCGAAGGAAGAGTGTCGGTAGAATCCTTTGCAAATATACATGCAATGCCAATCCTATTTTCCTTTACCGATATGGACAAGCTCTTCAGAAAAACCTCTGTATTCTTAGAAATTCGTCCAGACCCCATCCTCGTGGTATTAATACATGTGTGTCTCAGAAGAGTTTATGAGTACCGTGGACTTTAGACTTGATATATATATATATATTTATCATGTTAATGATTCACACATTAGCGAGGCATGCAATAATTTCGACTGTAAGGGAGGGCTCAAGTCATTGACACTAAATTAGAATACTCGAAGGTATTCTTAGCTCATTATCTAAACAAAATTGGAAAATTCATGAAATTCTTGTGTAGCGTCGTATATAGCCCTGTTTCCAACGACTTGGCTAGCAATTTCTACTTGATGAGGAGCTGCTCATGTTGTTAAAAGTAATACAACTGTACTTGTTGTGGTACATTTCGTAAATGTTGTTTCTAACAGGTATAAGAACATACTGCAATCACTGTGTACCATTAAAGAAGCTTTGGTTCATAACTTGCTCCAAATAGATAAGTCATTACACTAAGCATTCTGCGTGAAATATCAAACGAAACACGTCTTAACAAGACATGGCAATGAAAGAGGAGGGAAAGAGCGAGGGAAGTAGTTGAGGTGATGGAGAGATTTACGGCCAAGAATAACACCAGTGGACAATCTTTACATCCATCCTCTACTTAGTACAAACACAGCAGTCGTACGCTATGTACTTAGGCGGTTATTTCCCGAGTAGCTATTAACTAAGTGTATAGACACAACGTAAAACAGTAGCACTACGCAAACGAACATTCCCCCTCCATTTTGCTCAGAAGAAGTTCATTCACATATTCTATATTTTAAAGATACTTTCTTCTGTTTTTTCTTTCTCTCCGTCTCTTCCTTTTGTCTGGCTCGGTTTCCTTTAATGAGATGGGTGACTTTGTATATAATGAGCAATCTCGCCAACGCATAGGCGCCATGTAATGATCCTAAATTTATTTATGACGAAACCTGAGTATTATACACCAGAAGGCGACAGCAGCATTAAACATAACCATAGACGATTTAATCCAAGGGGGCTATTGGATCGCAGCGTCGCAGCCCAAGACATTTTAAATAACCGATATTCAGGCCACCGCCACTTCAAAATTAAGCGGTGTGGCGTCTATCTTTTGATGACGAAATAATATTCTCCATGTAACAAAATGTAAATTTAATTTGGCTCACTTACTTCACTCGCTCGCAAGATCAGGAACCAGGAAGTTCGTATTTGGTCAAAAGACGACAGCCCCTGGTGAAATTATGCCCCTATCATCAATTCAACTACAAGAAGAACAAAATGAGAGAAAGCACTGTTGTTGTTTTATGACCCTACATTCATTTATTTCCTACTTTCAGTTTTAAAAGAAGATAATCTTTGTGATTATCAACGTCTGTATTATATCTAAATTAAAAAATAAACCTTATCGGTCGGTTGGTTGAATTGAAACCCTGTGTCCTCCATCTTTAATCCAGAGATACGTGAGTTCCCTGGCTATACCTTGTACTCGTACCATATTATTATGTAACCCACTATCCAAGTGTGTGTACGACCATCCATCTGTACACCCTTCAAAGTGAGGTTAGGACTTGTTAATCACTTGTTAATTGTACTTTTTGCGAAGTGAACAAACACACAAACGTATTAGTAGTATTACGATCACACTTCGCCTTTGTCTTGTAAATTCCTTCCCTTTTCTGTCATGTTATGTATTTATTATTTTATACACTCAAATTGCTCAAATTCGGCTCAAATTGTTGTTTTTTCTGACGATTCCTTTTGCAGGATGCCCCATGATGGGTGATCTGAACCCATAGGGATACATCGCTTCGTCCAGGGGTGATTGCAACTTCGGCAAACCACCCATGAATGAATTCTTCTACTACACAAAAGACGCATGACCACACCTATTGCACACGATCAGGATTATTACTATAGGAATAAAGCACAAACTCCAGATGGTCTCCACAAACATGGAGCAGACAATGGTTATGAGTACGAGTATCCTGGAATCGGAACTCAACACTCCCGCCAAAAATTGCTATCGTCTCGTCATCTTCGGATCGTCCAAAGTGGGTAAGACATCCATCGTGAAGCGATTCCTGACGGGCGAGTTTATCGAGCAGTACACGCCGACGATCGAAGACTTTCACCGCAAGATCTACAAGATTCGAGGGGAGGTTTATCGATTGGATATTCTCGATACTTCGGGGAACAACCCTTTCCCTGCGATGAACCGGCTATCGATACTCACAGGTGAGTCATAATCAAATCGTCTGTCAAAGTCCTTTTCATCTAATCAGTCTTTAATCATCATTTTACAATAAATACCCCAAAAATTGTTGGGTAAAGGCGTATAGCTTTACACAATAGTGCATGTTTGTTAGGGTAATATCTTACCCAGAACTGGTAAGCTTTAACCCTTTATGGTATTTTATGCAATGTTGGGTTAATGTTTACCCATCGGAAAACCATGCTCTCTTTTTACCCGATTCGTTTTAGAGTGTGCGCTCGTAGAGACCTTCAATAACTTAAATCACGGGCCATCTCTATTCCGTACCAAACCTTCCCTATGTCATATTACATTATTTGACATTGTCCTGTTGGCACATTTTCTAAAGGTGGCGACGCACAACTCGAAACGAACGTTGGTTGTTTTTCGCAATCGTGTTTGTTGCTATTCATTTCTTTTGTGATTTTCTTTTTATGAAACATAACAGCTTGAATATTATTAGCTTACATAAGGATACTGTGGTATTGGTTGAATCTTGATTATTCATAAGAAGTATCTATACAACTTGATGAAAGAGAGTCTATTTTCTTGATCGTGTTATCACATTGATTCGCTCGGACTGCCTCCCCCCCCCCCCCCCCCCCCCACCTCTTGAAAAAGTTAGGCTATGCCGTGTTCAATATGCCCGTGTAGGCGGTTTTTAAGTGCAAAGACGTTATGTATTTCTTCGCATGCTATTAGGGACTTTTAGATTTACGTGGACTGATACGTGTGACGTCCATTCAAGGCAGTGCATTAAAAGGACGTCGACTGTAGCAATCCCCATTGTCTTCGTGCGAATCTAAAGTCCCTATTAAGACAAGGAATGAACAAGTTCCCGCCTTTCTCTTGTTATTCTATTGAAGTCTTCCCACCTTCAAAGAAGGACAATGAACCATGTAATTGACTTCAAACGTCAGACCTATCTCTCCTAATGAAACAAAAACAGCCTCAAGATCAACCGATTGTCGCGCTCAGACGATGAGAAACGGAAACACACTCAATGGAAAACAACGGATAGGGGCAGCATCGTAATATGATACAAGCTCGACATGAGATGCCCTTGCCACAGGGAGACACAACCAATGTTTTAATTATTCGCTTTTATTAACACCTTCAGGTTTTAAACTGAAGATATAGTCTGATGTAATAATCGGTCATGAGTACCGTACATCTTTTGCTTTATTCGATCCCCTGGTGTGATATTAATTTGCTCTACTTCTTTCTTCGAGTCCTTTTTTTTCTACCTCACTGCATGCGTCATAATATTTTATACTTTCTATGCGGGTTTTGAGTATGACCAGGAATCATAGGCTCGGAAGCTGATGTAGCATTTTATATTGAAGCTAACGAATTTTGAAATACGACGTTTCCACAAGAACTCGAAAAATAATTTGATATCATAACTGTATTACCCCAAATACGAGTCGAACTGACGACGTCTGAAATACCTATCAAACTATAACAAACGAAAAAAACAAAGACGACAACGTCACTTCAACGTTACTTTATCTAAAGCTTTAAGATCATGACGAATGCTTGCTTCTTAATTGCATCATCAAAGAAACTTGTTAGAAGTTCTTCTTTCTGTCCTGAATGATTAAATATAATAGTAAATTTGAAGCTTCTTTTCACTGGTTCAATTGTGAAATTTTAAATTTATAAAATAATTGTAGATATGACTACATCTTTCTTTAAACAACACACCCACAAATATTCAAAAGCACCGACACAGCGGTGAGTGCATGGGACTATATGCGGCCTATTGGACACCGCATCGCATCAAAGTTCTGTTCAAAGTTGTAAACTAGTTTGTAGTCTTTGTGAAAAGTCTGAGATTATTCAAGAGCATTATTTTGTGTATGACAATTCTACTTTGCCATTCTCTCACATATAGGTTCAAGAATAATGAGAAAACACGCATATTATTTTACACATTTAATAGAACTCAACTTCCTCTTTAACAATACATTTCCCCGGAAGCTCGGACAGGATATGTGTGGCGGATTTTGTCTGTATTGAAATCCCGATCCCTCAAGCATTAGTCATTTCCTTTTGTCCACCACGAATATTACATGTCATTTGTTCTCCAAGGAAATATCAGATGACAGAAATACAATCCGGAAAATGCGACTCACATTTTCAATGAAAATGTTCGAAAAGCCCCCGTGGTAAAGTAAATATTTTTAACAAAACTCGGATGGTGTTCCGTTCCATGCCCCGGACGAAAAGTTGTTTTATGATCATCCTCGAAGTCGAGATTATTGATTTCATTTCGAGTTATTATTTTCAGAAACACTTGTTTTTATCGAAGTTGCTTTGACATTTTTGTCTTTTTAAGGTATGTGAAATTATTTCTTCCACTGTAAACGTATACTGATTGATATCAACAGTTTCATATCTTACGCTGATTTCATTGTTTGTTCTTTATCAACATGTGTCGTTGGATTTATGGAAACAATATGATCCGAGAGCTATTTTAAGCATGCAAAACATGAAGCAAGAAACTATGAATTGATGATCTTCAAATTTAAGGTGTTACTCTTTCAAAGTCTGCGTTTATCATCTCCGATATGAGTTTGTAACGATTAGATACCTCTTACTCTTTCTTTTTCATCAAGTATTTTATGTCAATGATAACGCAGGTTTATCATCACCAGCAATCTTACATATTACTCTAAAGCATGGAAACGTTCGTAGAATCGTAATCGGGATTTCATCTCTACCACTGCATGCGAAACTTTATTGCGTTGAGGCCGTAGTGTATTGGGACGCAATATTATGAACGGAAGCTGCCAGCTTCTATTGAACGAACACCACACATGCCCAAGAAGAATTTTAGATATATTTAGAGCATTGTATGAGGAGCTGGTTTGTAGGACTGTGGAGAAAATAAGACAAATATCTGCAAAGGGAGGGGGTGGTATGCTCAATACACTCCCCAGTGATCCTCAGTAGGACAGAACGTGATATTTCCTCTAAACAGAGACGGCAAACTATTGTTGGCCAAGATAAAGTGGTTGTACTCAAATAGTCTGCTGATTCGGGCCCGCTGATCTAAGCTTTTAACTGAGTAGGGGTTCTCTGTAAAAGAACCATATAACTGTTCATTCGGGCGAGTCCTGATCATGGTCATGGATACTTTAAATTCCAAGTAGCCGCTTTTCATTCTCAATCTATTATTCAGCAAACGAGGAGCAGGAAAGAAGCCTAAATCTGAAAATCGCACATGTTTTGTGTGAGGTTATTTCACGCTTTGCGCATCCAGTAATCATTGGGACCGTTCAAGTCGTCCGCCGACGAAATCATTGCCACCTAGTGGTTTTATCGGGCAACATTACCCATCAAACACAGACCCACATATTTACACACACGCACACGCACGCGCTTCTATTCCCACATTGGGTAATATCTTTAGATACAAGGTATCTAAGCATTTAATTTCGAAATTATTGTGATAGTGTGCTTAATTATGCTTTTTATTTATTATGTATCAATTCGTTATGATTTTGGGCCGGAAATTTGAATATGCCTGACGAATGTTATAATTTATTAGATCTATAATAGCTGGGATCAATGTCAACAAAGGCAAAAATGTATTTAATTGCTCGATATTGATACCCTCTCTTGTATTTATGTGTGAAATGATCTTTTGTGGAATTTAATGACATCTTTGTATGACCGATTATTTATTTACTTTGATAACTTGTTGCTAGTACCATCTGTATATTCCCAGGACAATGCTGTCGGATAAAGCTGTTGTCTGTTTGATGATTTTGCTTGTTTGTAATGATATGTACCCGCTGTCTATTTTACAATTGTACTTCGTTATCTTTATGATGTAATCGCAGACACATGTACAGCCCAATTGATGTAACTTTCTCTTTATAAGTGAACATGCCTTCCTATACTTAATTCTCTCCTCTCTTCCTTTCACTATTTTTTCTTTCCTATCAACGTTCTGTTATATACAATGTAATTTTCATAATAATGTCTATAATGTTCTTTCGGTAACTGTGTTAATTTATTATGGGCGTTCCCAACTCAAGCTACGCTTTCCGGGTTTTCGCCTCCTTCCGTATCTGAATTAATTACTGTATACTCTATGTTGAAATAATTGTTCCATATATCATGTATATATACATTGTGTTTTATATTGTGCTGTTGAGAAGGAAATAAATGTTAATAAATACAAATACAAAATACAAACTTAAGGAAACTAATATTTCAATATTATCATATTTCAATTAAATACATTAACGTATGGAATACAGAATGAATAGGACTTGCCCTCATCACATTCTGTTATGAAGTGTCCATGCTATGAGATAAAAATGTTCGAACTGTCAGACTAAATTCATCATCCCTCTGGACGACTGCGAAGAATGGCGTAAGGACAAGCACGTTGACCCTCAGCGATGTGTGGTAACTCGAGAAATCACCTCTAAAGAATTGGAAAAGTAAGCGAAACAGTACCACCACGCCGGCCATCCATTCCCTAGTCGACATGTATCAGTTTATGAACTGCGTCCTTAGGTGACCATTCGGCATCATTTAAATGAGTAGATTCAACATCTTCAAACTTCGCCCCAAAGTGAGAAATCACCAGTCTCACGATCAACGTAGATTGGTATTGATTTAAGGAGACGTCAATCAAAACGGGAGGGCTGCATGGTGTTCGAATTGGATTGCAAAATTGCATTTCATCGTATTCCTTTGGTGTTTAGTTTACATGGAGAAATTGTCAATGAGAAATGGAGCAATGGAAAGAATCCCATTGTAAAATAAAACCTTTGATTATCCTCACTTGATAACGAATTGGAGTGTAAAGTGTATTATTTTGTATTTCTTTGGACTGGCTCTCAAGTAGAAAGCTATAAATATGTAAGAAGAAAAAAAATTTCATTTCAAAATAAAGCCTGTAATCACCCGACTTAGAATAATTTTAGAGTACAAGAGTTTATAACCAAAAATCCTTTTCCTA